TATATGGATAATACATCTAAATTTTATGTAAGTTTTAGTTTCTAGTACAGTCCAAAGTCCAAAAAAATACATATTGTGTGATATCTTATTTTTATTTATTTTTTATAAATATGAACAAGTATTTTTAATGCCAATTAATATCTGAAGAAAAAAAATGATTGTCTTATCGTTTTTATTATTAATATAAAATTTAGTTTATTTTTATTATTAATATAAAATAATTATTGGTATAAAATTATATTTCAAATTTGATAAAGAGTTATAAATATATGAGAGATAAAATTAAATTGAAATAATAAATCTTATTAATGTACGCAAAATTACTTTTGTAGAATATGGATATTTTGATTTATATATATTGTGCATTATATATCATAACGTATGTGTAAAAGGAAATATTTGCAGTTTTCTTGTTTACTTCAAATTTAAATGGAATAGACTTTCCATTAGACTTTCTCGTACCGATTTCACAAACATATAATGAAAAAAAGAAAGGGTTTGTGGTACAATCGGTAATGATGTATTAATCGCGATTCAATAATTACTGAGAAAGAATTTGTGATTCTTATAAGACAAAAACTATAACAGCAAAGGAAACGAAATGAAGTTGATCTCCACCTTAAAATGCGCTATCAATCACTGCAGTTGAAGCAATGACAGTTTAACAATGTTAATTGCTCGAATTAAGTTGAATCACGCGGTCCTTTGGGGGTCCTTTTGCCGACTTAATTAACATATTCGTATTACCGTAAATCTGTTTGACAGCGGGTGCACATTACATCGATACTAATAACATTGATTATGGTCAAACTGGCCGTAGAAAGTTGACGTTTAAATTCACATACTTGTCGTCGCCAATAAAAGAACGGTAGTTAGCAGGTGGCTTAAAAATCCCATGGGTATCAAATCATGATCATGAATCGTTGGAAAGTTGAATCAAGAAAGAACCGCACACACACACACACATTCGCCAATGAATTTACCTGAATATTATTAACAGAGACAGTAGATGTAAGCAATTTAATAAATCCGTCTATCATAGTCATTACTCGTTCTTGCACACTAAAGTGTCACTAAAGCCGTAACTTTTCCTTATATCGGAAACTCGATATACTATAATAACCAACCTAACTGTCCAATTAACATTTTAAGATTGATTATATTCTATCGATTTATTATAGCATAATATATAAATAAATAGATAATATAAGAAGTATATTTATCTCAATTTTTTCCTTAAAAAAGCAATTGAATATTACTAATAAAAAATACATAAAGATATATTTGACAAACATGAGAAATATACAGAAATATTTTATCTTCTTTCATATATATATATATGTGTATATACACATACATTATCTATTTGAAATATTATACGTAGAAATGTGTCATTTATAAAGCCAGTTTTATTTTTTAAATCTTGATAATTCTTTTAATTATCAGAATAAAATTATGTATCTGAAGAAGAAGGTCAATTCAATAATAAACTATACGCACTTATCTTTATTATGTATACGCACGTTTCTTGTATAATTTCCTTTTGAGGTGCAACATGTGTTTATATTTATTGAACATATATATTTAATTGCATCTTGCATACTAATTAATGACACATTCATCACTTTTGTATGCAATAAAATCGGAGAACTTTAACGCGTAACAAACTCGCGGTTTTGCTAATGGCTCATTTGCTAATATTTAATTAGCAATGTGAGACAATATATAATAAAGAAAGTATATTTATAAAAATTAGAATCTTAGAATGTGTTCAAACCACAATATTTTATTTCATATTCGGCAAACAGAAAGTGCAAAGAATGACTATGTGATTCGAAGTTGCAATTATTGAAATATGACCACATATAATATCTTGGAGAGTGTTAAATATTCAGATCATGCCCTAAGTAATTCTATAAGTATTAAGAATACTATAAATATACAATTTGTCTCTTTATCAGCGTGTTCGATAGGAGAAATCGGATCAGTGTCAATGATAAATATGTTGCTTTTCTATTTTTTTTGTCGCGAGAATATAATTATTCACTGCAATCTCACTTGAATTTCTCACACTTTCTCCATCTCGAACAACTAAATAGCTTTAACGAGGTGCGACTGTATCATTTTTTTAACTGCTACTAGTTAGTGGCTTATTAAGACAAGGCTAATTTAAGACACACAATGTCAATGTCGGAACTTTTAGAATCTTATTTTTCCCAGAAAAATCACTTTCATTCGCACTTTCTCGCACATCATAATAAGTAGAAAAGAATAAGATATTTAAAAGATACGATTTTCCTTAAATCTCTTGAAATAAAACTTAAAATAATAGTATGCTATTCATAATTCTTTGACAAAAATTTGAATTTACGAGTCAGTACAATACCATCACAAACTTTGCAGGCATGGTAAAAATATCACACAGTTGGAAATCGAAAGAAACGAGTTTTATCGCGGCCTTGCTATGGACCGATGATGCACAAATACTGAGAAGATATCGCGCGATCGTTAATTGACAGAACAGATGGTCGCGTGATTCGAGGTGAGTGGCTGGCGCATGCACGTGACTCGATCGGAATTTTCTCTCGATGGCATTAATTCGTACGAGGAAAGGCATACAAGCGTGACTCTCTTTCTCTGTCTTTCTTGCGTTCGCATCGATCGGCAATAACCGGCACGTGCAAAAGCATATGCAATCACGTGCGGCACGTGATATACTCTTGCGCGTCGATATAGGAATAGTTATTATGGTCCACATCCTGATCTATGCAACGGCATTGATTCTATAATATGTGGTATATGTAGGTGTGAACACTGAATGTTACAGTTATTAAATGATTGCGAGATGTTATTACTTTATATTTGCATACAATATTAAGAGATATCAATTTCGCTATCAAATTAATTTGCAAAGATATAAATGCAAATATTTCAAATTTTACATAGCTTCGTTCGTCTATGAATTTTCTAATTAAAAACATATTTTTTTTTTCTTAACAAAGAATATTAATTATTTTGAAATTGTAAACAATTAAAATTTTTAAAAGCTTTATAATTTATGTTAAAAATTTTTAAAACTTTTAAAACTTAACTGTTAAAAATTTTTAAAACTTTATAAATTATGTGTCAAAAATAAACTTCAAATTTTTGAAAAATCCATAGATAAAAAGAAGTGTGTAGAATCAGAAACAAGTTGTACGAAGAATGAATATTGCATAATTAATTTCATAAATGAATGCCTGTTGAACTTATTAAGTTTGACATTCTTTTGTCATATTCCTTTTAATATCCAATATAAATGCAAAAAGTTTTCTGACAACCTTCGTCATCTGAGAGATTAATAATGCAATTTTTAATATTTGATTATTATCGAATCTATTTCAAATTGAAAGATTTAATTTTTATTCAAACTTTTCCCTAGAAGAGAAAAATCTTTTCTCTAGAGAATGTTTGGATTATAAAGTGGTATTCTTCAAACGTAGCGTGATTCCCGCTTACTTGGTGACCCTGCTTTTATGTCATTTTCTAAAAAAATGCAGCAAAGTTGTAGTCCTTGCAGGCCATCGTACTCGCATATACGACGAACATATACGTGTAGGCGGCGAATCTCGTGAGCGTAGTTCACGACGAGCCAGACTCACGTGCTTATGCAGACTGCCGTTTACAGGTCTTTTCGCGGCTCTCATGCGTTTGAATGACACGTGTTGTAATACCTATTTTGCCGATGTTTAGTCGACAAATATTAGAGTCCTAAATGCAAAGCAATGGGAATGAGTTGAAAAGGTCGTTCATAGAATTGTGACAGAAGCGAGAAATTTAAACTACAGTAATTTTGAGTACTGTCACGTTCCAGAGAGACGGCACACTGCGAGGTTATCAGGATTAGCATCTGTAGAAGGAAGTGTTCCACTTTCGCAAACGAAGGATAGAGAGAGGGTGGAGACATAATTGTACGGGATAGAATCAGACGCAACAATTATGATAGAACGAAATAGAAAGAAAAAGAGAACAATAGCTAAAATAACAGTTAAAAATCAAGATTGCGTCGTTCTTAAAAAATTATGGTGCTTAATTGCGGAATTTCAATCTTTGAGTTAATAGGTTTGATGTATACTACCCGCATGAAAGAAAAAAATTCCATAATTATCACAGAGTACCCATGTATTAGTCAACACTTTACGAATCAAAAAATATGTACATTGTTTAGTATCATTTTTATTTCTTTACATATATATTCTTACATACTTTTTAATTGCATTGCATTTTATAAAAGAAATTATAGATATAACTTTCTAAATTGTAGATTAAATATAAACTTTAATGTTAAATAATTTATATATATATATATATATAAAGAGATAATTTCAAGAACTTATTTAACTTTTTGCAATTTTTTAAAATAAAATTTAATAGAAGTGAAATGTGTTTACATCAAATTATGAGAAAAGATTAATCATATATATGGATAATTTATCCTCCATTGTTGAAGATACATACAGGAATATAACTATATACATCTGTAGCCGAAAACGCGAATAATATCTTCGAACATGCTTGATTGCGAGCTATATTATTGATGCTGTATTATTATGCAAGATTCAACCATGAACTTTAAATCGATATATACATAATAATGCTAAAGATCATTGTATTTTTGCTTTATTAGTAACGTAATAAGTGAGCTAATGACATAATGCTTTTTTTCTTATAACTTGTATTTTTATAATAATTTTAATAATAATATTTTTATAATATGTATTGTATTAATAATTTTTGTTCATGTAATGGAAATGAATGTTTCTTAAAGAACATATATCGATTTATCTTATTTGTGTTGCGCTTTATATTATTTTAAATTTAGGTACATGTATTGCTTAGCATAATTTTTAAAGCAAAGTCATTATGAGAATAAATATGAATCCCATTTAAATAGGAAAGAAATGAGAAATTATGTGCACGCAATATGTGCGAATTTTGTGCATATCAAAAACATTAAATACCTGGCATTAATCTCTCCTGTGAAGGATGTCCTAAAATCTCAGTATCGACGATTAACAGGATAGCCAAGATTCCAATGGCGTGCATCTTCATGGTCACTTCCGATCTAAGCTATCCTGATCACAAATCGGCAAAAATGATGAAAATTCGTGAAACACGTAAATAGCTAAGCACACGACGGCTAATTCTTTAAATTGTCTTACTTCAACAAGACAAATTTAGTGCAAATTTATGTGAGAGATTCCCAGGTATTAATCTACGTCCACCGTACAATACGTTGGCAGAGCTCCTACCGCTATCGGACTGTGCGCTAGTCTGGAGGGCCGCCTGGCGCTTTCACTGGCTTTATACGTGCGCAAGAAAGCACCTCTTCTGAAAGAGGGGATTCTATGTGGTTCTCATGTACGTCACTGGATATATCATGAAGAATTGCGGACAATCGTGAAATTTCGTGGCACGGATATGTATGTGTGATATTTGTTGCTTTTAGTTTTGGAATAATAAAGAATATTGTTTCCAATTGTGTTTCTCCAAAATTTTTATTTTTCTTTTAAAAAAGAAAATAAATTTTTCTTTTGAAAAGAAAAATGCAATACGAAATAATATATATCATAAATATTATAGAAAACGGCATAATAAAATATGTTGCGTCTGATGCTTAAAGATATTATGATAGGGAAATTAATTTTTTAAAGATAGAAAGAGAATGTACGGATAATTAAATTATTTCATAGTCTTTATGCAATTTTCTCTTCAATCTTTAAATATTTTAATTTAATTTAATTTATGTTCGAATGCTATCGATTAAATGATTTCATTCTATTTTTTACTTTTATATTTATATTTATTATTTATTATTTTATATTTATAATTTTTTTTTCAACTTATTGTATAAAGTATATAATAATTACTGATTTATTATATTTTTTTAAAAACAAATCTTGTAGATGCGTATATTTTCGCGATATTAGCAGTTCGATCATTCGAATAAATTAAAAGAAAAGCTCATTTTAGCAATAAACTTTTATTTAACTTTATCGTACTTAAATATTGAATCTAATAATGAGTATATATAAGTAAATATTTTTGTACTATCTTACACTATTGCTTCCGATTAATGATTAGAGGAGCATCAATGATAAAGCTAATATACGGAAATAATTGCGAGTGCAGAATTACAGACATACGTTCTGCACTATCGATTACATAGATGAGCTGCCGATTGTATAGTTAGTCACAATGCTGCTGTCATTACTAAAGCAAGTATTTATTATCGCAGATTGTTCTATGATTAATTGCCAATATATAATCAGGAAATGCGTGATGATCGATAAATAGACTGAAATTTTTATTTTTAATTCTTTTATTTATCATATATGAATTGTTATTGACTCATTTAGACACACGATATATATGTTTATATAAGAAAAAGTTGAAAAATATATGTTATTAGTTGAAAAATATATAAATATATAAAAAGTTGAAAAATATATGTTATAATATATGTTAATTTAGCACTATTTTTCATACTTTACGTTTTTCTAATACGTAGAATCTAAACTAAACATTATGAAATCATGTACAATGCAACAAACGACAAATTATAATAATAGTTATATAAAATAGTCATATAAAAAAGTAGATTTAATTGAGGAAAATAATCAGTGTAAAACGCATATTAAAATACCGCAAATATGCTTGATAATTGTCGTCTATAATGACCTGGATCAATGACCATGACTTTCTCACGCTGATTTAATAGATTCATAGGTAATTTTCTTTAGGAACGTACTTGTATAATAGTTAGTTTATGGAACAAACCTGCAGTTTGATTCATTGTCTATTGCACCTTGCCGGTCACTCGCTATTCTAGATGAATCATTACTGCACTCGGGATCATTATCCTTGGTCGTTGAACATAATTCGTTCGCACGTTTCGAAAGCTTCGATAATCCTTCCGAGTTGTACGTTTTATATTGCCTAACATACGGAGAGCGCCGTGTAACTCATAAGCTTGAAGTACTCAGGTCACTTTCATGATCGTGCATCAACGTCATAGAGTAGATATGTACTAATGAATGAACTTACAATTGTGTATTGTTAGATATAATTATACCTTGCTAAGAAAAATATATAACTCATCATATATATATTTCATATACATATATGACGATACATATACTTATTTTTGAGATATTAATTATAATTTAAATTTTTGAATAAAGAGAATAATAAAATTTAAACCGCTAGGTATTTAAAAAAAATGTATGGTAAAGTAATCGACATTTGACGCAAGTTCATGCTAAAGCATAGATAAGGGGAATATCGGCAAACTGTCTATCATCCGAGTGAACCGGTTTCTGCACTTCCGCGATTTAGCAAGCCTCATTATTTTGAAGCCGAGCTGATTTTATTTTGAATATCGTTAATCATTCTTGACTGCGAGAAGAGAGATCTCCAGATGATTTTCGTCAAATTACGAGAGGTTACGAGCACGTTATTTATCACTAGAAATTCACACGTCTTAATCTATATTCTTATTATGCGTAGAGGCAAATCGAAAATGAAATGCGAGATATATTAGATTTATTATCGCAAGGAAAAATGATTAAAAAAATTAATAAATTTGTTTCAATATTACATAGTTATTCTCCCATATTAATGTTATACAAAAATTGCCTCGAACAAGATTAGTGATCGCTTTTTTAAAACTAAAATTCTGCAAATTTGTACCGCATAAGATAACAATCGATAGAAACATAAACGTTACGCTATGTTGCACATATAAAAGTTAATATGAATATAGATTATATCATAGTAACATTTTGTATCTATCAATATATGACAGTCACTGTTGCAACTTTAGCCATGCATATTGAGTTGAATTAGATTAATCTTGAATTGGTAAATTTCTATGCTACGTTAAACTCAATTACGCTAAATTAACGTAATGATTTCGTATTTAAAATGTCGGATTTAATAATCTTGTATTATTAACACAACAGGAGACTCTCTCTGTATCTTATATGTCGGCTTAACAGGTCGGCTTAACAGACTTATACTTTTTATGGTATTTATATTATCGTCTTTATTATGATCTCTTTAATGATTTTCTATTGTAATTGCTTTCTGCATTACACTGGCATCATAAAAAGGATTCTGATGCAAATGAGAAATAAAACTATTTCATGATATGTGCATCTCTCAAGCATGTATGTCATTAGATTATCATTGTTAAGAGAGTTTTTGCAATAAACTCGTAAGTATATTTTTTTACGACATATATGTCAAATATTATTGATTTAAAGTTTAGATTGTAGATTGTCATAAATTGGCATAAAAGTTACTTAAATAGCCTTTTATTATGTTAAAGCGCGATAATATTTTGAATATAAATATATAATATTGTATTAAATCAATATAAATTATATATAAGTTAATCAAAATATCTATATTTACTTACAACAATAAATATTAATTTATTCTCAAGGAAAATTATGGGAAATATTGAGAAATTATAATTAATGCAAAAAATTGAATTTGTGTAATTGTAAAAAAATATAAAATTACATAAAAACAAATATAAAATTATACAATAAATAAAAGAAATATAACATTTTTATATATTATTGTAATTTCACACTTATTGTTCACGTAATTCTATATTTTACGGTGTAATTATATATCTTATAATCTTTCATAAACACGGCAAATCGATAATAATCGCAAGAATAATTAATAATTCTGATTATAAACGGTGATTTAATTTAAACAGTATTTCGCAGTAGTCTCCTTTCCCTCGAACCGATAATGTCTCGGTAAGACTATAAGTTTGTGCTGATACCTGACACATTAATCTCGGGTGGTGCAAACATCCTTAATAATTAGCTACACCAAGGGAAGTGTCGACATACACTCGGCACTGTTGCTCTGCGCCTCTCCCATTCTAACATTTTTCTTTTTAATTGCATTCGTGTATTGCGATCTTTTCGCAATAGTTCTAGTATCAAAACACTTGACCATGATCTTAATTAATGCTAGAATTGAAGTTAACGCACGACAGCAAAATAAAAACAATGGTTTCTTTAAAGATGTTTTTCCATTAGTTTTAAACGTATGTAACATGTGGTTTTCATGAAATTTATAAGCATGTTAGGATATGCCAATTCGAGCACTCGTTTACTCGGACGAAAGTATTCATTTTACTAAACGCCCGCCTATCATTAATCAAAGTAAGTCTATAAAAATTTTCATCGGCTCTTAATGACTTCCACGGTTTGAAGTCTGGCGAAATTTAGGTTGATGCAATATCGACGCAGCCACGTGGCACTTTGCTTCTGTGGTGCCGCGTTCATATCGCTTTAAATCCTCAATTGCGATTCATTCAACTCGAGTTATGCAACGGTAAGAAATAAGTCCTTAATACAATTAATTTGCGTCTATCATTGACTAGGTAAATTATGAATCTCTTACAAAAATTGCATATATAATCACTATATTTCTAAAATTGTTATGTGCCAACAAAAATTTCTTTGATATGTAAAATTAAAAATTTCTACGTACATTAAATTGTGTTAAATTAACATAGAACATCTTGTTGTACATTAATATCTCATTTTTATTAATTATTTTTATTTGCAAAAATTCTTTTTTGCAAAATATGAAGACCTTTATTTCAAAAATTTAAATAATTTCACATAAATTGTGTTTCTTTGACATTAATTGCTGTCAATTGATTTTAAGTGATTGCATGATTTAATTGTTCAAAATGGAAGATTGTTATAATGGATATTTCATGATTATAAACAATAATATTGTAATAATAATATGTTATATAGCTTAAAATTATATATATATATATATATATATATATATATATATATATATTCTATTATAAGAGAATAAAACTGTAAGTTAAATTATTCATAATTTTTTTATAGTCGTTCATATCACTGCAACAATCAGCCGGTTGACTTCTCTTGAAAGTTTGCCGGATGTTTCTCAGTCTTTCCAAATAATAAGCGAAAAAATTACAACATGAAATATACAATTCAATGCAAACATACTTTTTATTTTTAATTTCTTCTATAATTTGCATGAATAATTTTTTCTTGCTATGACAGTCACACCATTTAAGTAAATCTGAGTACTTACGTTTTTTTGTAATCATTATCATGCAATGTCTGTTAATAAGTATAATTGAATAATGAATATCACTTTCTCAGAGAAAGTTTGCGGAAATAAAGTTTCAGTTATGATATTGTTCTGTTGATTATTTTTTTAATCATTTTAATAAT